GACCTTGAGAGAAGTTGAATAGTCATACACATGTGAGGATCTGCTCTGTTTGTCAATCTTTGTTTATGATAATCCTGTCCTGACCCCCAGCATCAGAGAATTAAGAAAGTGAGAATGTTATGGTCCATTACTAGAAGAGAAATGTGCCAACTAATATTGATCCTAGTCCACCAAAATCACCAGGAGGGCCACAGCTGTACTAAAAGACAGAATGTGACCCTGGAGACTTAACAGTCAAAGGGCAAATGAGACAAGCTTGTTTATGGTCTGTTTTGCCCTCTGGGGAGCTGTTCCCATGTCTGCAAAGTGATAGTAAAACAGATCTGATTGAAAGTGATATATTGCAAGCACTGGTTGGAAGTGTTACAGTGAGCAGGGGTCTTGCTTCAGGATGCTCCAATCCCCAGTGGTGTGGCCTGGGAGGGAGGTGAGACACCACTGATCTGGACTCACAGAGTTTAGGAGTAGGGGATTTAAATAGCTTTGCTAGTCTGACCTCGCAGGCCATTGAAATGCGCCCAGCTAGGCTGATGGTGGGGCTGATAATGGGTATTTAATGGGTATTTGGCATGAGCTTTCCTTCCATATGGCTGCCAGTTATGGTACGAAGCACCCGAGAGACAAAGGGTCCATCACGTGCCATGACAGATTGTTCCAGCATCACTCATTCTTCCCATTAAAAATCTCTGCGTTGTTTCCAATTTGAGTTTGTTTGGGTTCAGCTTCCAGAAGGTARCACTCATGCATTTCTCTGCTTGATTAAAGAGTGCAGCCGGATCTTGTGCTTTCTTCCCCTGGAGATGCTGATATATATTAATCAAGTTGACTCTCCATCTTCTTGTGATATTCTAAAGAGATTAAGCACTTCAGATCTCTAATTGCAAGACATTGCCCTTAATTTTAAAATCRTCTGAAGTCCTTTTGTTCTCTACTGACCTCTTAAAAATGCCAGATCACAACTATATGTGATATTACAACAATCTTCTTCCCTGTAATACACATTTCATCCTATACATCTAGATTTATCCAGATCTCACTGGTGCTGTTTTTGGATGCTTTGACAGTGGAAGCTCTTGATGAATGGTGGGTTTGCTCCCACCCTCAGGCTTGCTGTTCTCTCTCTGGGACACATTTCAGCCCTCTGCAGGCGGGCTGGCCCTCCTGGCTCTCAGCAGCTTTTCTGTACCTCTGACTTTGCTAAAGCACACTGACTCTGGGTGGGCTCAGGCTTGCTAACAACCTGCCAATCTTGATTCCATTCCTTTCCTGTTTGCCTGCAGGTCATTGATAAAAATGTAGGCAGCTTTCAGTCAGTCCTGGGAAGCCAGAACTGCTCCCTTCTTCCCTGCTCAAGGATGGCTTCCTATCGACAGCCCCACCTGAGATTTGTTACTCAGGCAGTTTTTAATCCCTTTAAGAWGTGCCTCCCTGGTATTGTGCAGCGCTACCTTTCTTCATCAGAGCAACATACAAAACTAAGCTWACTGTATTAGGAGCCCTAAGTCTATTACATCCACTCCATCAACTTTATCAAGTGATTTGTAATCCTTTTAAAGAATGAAATGRGGTCTGTTTGACAAGACTTACACAGTGGTGGCTATTAGTGCTATATCTCATATCAATTTTTTATTAAGTGCATACGGTGTCAGCTTTATTGCATGTATGTATGGATGTGTGTGGCTGCCTGTGGCAGGGTCTAGTTAAACTTCACAGCATCTTTTTGGGAGAAAGACTAGTCACCTGTACAAACCGCAACATCTTTTTGTTTTTTTACTTCTGTAGTTATTTAAGAAAGCTACAGCTGTGAATCACCAATAATTGCATCAACGTCAAAGGCAGCAGTGTATTCAGCACCATGGTGTGTCATGCTGTTCCTAAATGCCTCTGGAAACGTTCTTGCAATTTAAAAAATGTCCATGGTGGGGCAGGTCATGAAATCTTTTAATGCATTTCGCAGTTTTCTTCACAGAAAGAGAGACCACAGTCAGTCTTTGCAGTGTGTGTTGCTCTGTGTGAGTTGGTGTGTAGCATCCAAGCTGACATTTGAAAGTGAAGTGTGATGGTGAAGTTTGCAGTCAGAGAGGGAGAGGGAATAGTCATGTCCAGTTATCCAGCAGAGATGGTTTCTCTGAAAATCAAGTGCCTCTGTCCCATTGTGGGGGTGCAGGCACAGCCAGGCTGTCTCCAGCTGGGATGAACTCCTGAACTGACGCTGCTCAGATTAAAGAGGGTTTGCCCTGGCTTTTGGCCTCCCTTTTGGTGGAAGACCAGGATGTGGGACACTGGGAGAGGAGACCATCTTTGTGCTCACCAGACACTGTGTTTCCTCCCCACTCCCCTCCAGCTGGAATGAAACCAAATGTTGCATCTGTTCCAATGCTCAGAGTGGTTTGTGTTGCCATTAGCTGTGTTCAGCCCCAAATTGAACCTGGCAAGCAGCTGGCGTGCTCAGAGCCAGTTTGCTTGCAGGGAGATGTGTTTGGATGGGAAATGCTGCTGCCTTTGAAATACAATTGTTAGAAGAAGGAAAGAAGGTAATTCCCCACCTAAATAAGATAAAGGCTCATATTTTTCCTGGAAGGTGAGAGATGGATGATGTGCTCTGCATGGCAGCTGGCCTGAWCTCTTATACCCTTTTATTTCTCTCCAATGATCAGTCTGCAAGGGGYTAAAATATATTAGTTCAGTTAAAGYAATAATCTCTGCTCAACCTCACTGTGATGGAAGAGGAGGCTCTGCTCCCCTCAGCATCTTCATTGTGGCAGTGAATTGCTCACGGTTCTTGACTCCTTMGTTGAAATTCATGACTCTGGAATGGTTAAGCAGCACTCTCAATTTCTTGCTATTTGGCTTTCTTTAAAAATAAAATGTTGATATTGTTAAAGGATTCAAAGATGTTGTGAGAGAGCTCAGTCTTCTACTGCCCTTCCTGATAGCTTCTCTCTGCCCCTCAAAAGGAAAAATTAAAGCAAAATTTATTAATAATGCTAAAGCAGTGAGTCAGGACRTCTTTATGTATTTAAGGTGAGAAGCTGTACAAAGTGTGGTCGCAGTTCAGACTGACAGGGACGTGTTCACTGCTCTTGTCCAAGTCTCTGAAGAAATCTGTTTCCCATCCCAGGTGCAGGTAGAGCCTGTGCCTTGAGCTGAGGTCACAGAGTCAGTCAAGTGGGCTGTTGGCTGCACCTTGTGTGCCACTGCCTGCAGTGAGCCACTTGCACTCAGTGAGGGTGGATTTTTTGTCTGTCTGTCAGTCTTTCTCAGAAATCCATTGTGGCAGGATTTCCTGGTTCATCCCCACCTCAACAACCATCTCTGTCTGGGTCCTGCCCACTTTTCTTCTTGGTCCATCGCCAGTGAGCAGTGGGGTTGGAAATCTGTTGGCTTGAAGGCCACTGGTTCAAATTCAGAGTATGTTGATCTGACCAAGGGGGAAAACGACCCTTTGGCAGATCATTCCATCAAAAAAGATCTTTATTCTGCTTTCCAGTCCACCCATCAAAGACAATTACACAGAGCAATCTTGCAGGTACTGGCACAGWAATGGGAGCCTGAACTGTTAGCTGGATGCAGATGGAGATTGGTGTTACTCAGCCATGAGTTTATCAAAGTACTTACAATCAAACAAGTTTTTCTGCAGTTTAGATAAACGTTGGCACATCTGTGGAACTACATTTTCTGGGACTTCAGAAAATGTCATTGTTTTGGGCCAGGTTCACTACCTTGGCTGCCAGTCTGGTCTCATCCTGCAGCTTCTCAGGTTAATGAGTTTATGTCTGTCAAAGACAGTGTATGAAATATCTGTCACTGTACAGTGTGGCATGTGTGAAACAGAAGAAAATCCCAAAATTTCTTGGGATGTGAGTTGTGTGCATTRCTCTGGATCTTGCTTTGGCTTGACKGGCATAGTTAAGTTAAAAAAGTCTGCAAGCATTTTAGGAAGTGCTATGTGCTGCAGAAAGTGCTCATTTGTTTTCCATTCAGGATGTTCAGTCTCAAAGAGGATGTGATGCAGCCTGGGGCTGATGGAAAGTGGGATGGCCTGGCATTGAAATGAGTGTCCAGGCAGGAGTTATGGTTCCTGGCACAGGGCTCTGTGGGCACACAGGACTTCTGCTGCTGTCCAGGTTTCTTCTTTATAAAGGGAATAATATTCCCTTAGCAGACAGGGGTGTGATCTGGGGGACAAAGAGCATACAGCTGTTTGGAGGAAATAATTTTAGAGACATCAGTAAAAAACCCCACTTTGTGAATACACCTTCTAATTAGACTTCCCTTAATTATGCAGATTTTGAATATTGTCTTTGCTGTGCTGAAAACAGTGGTTATTTTCTCAGCATGTTAATGCCACTGTAATCAAAGATCCTCATCCTCCAGTCACAGACCTGTGGGTGACCTTTTCCAAGACACATGGTCTATCAGGCAAGATGTTTGAAGCTTTGTAGGTGATTTGTGTGAGGAGAAACACAGAGACACCTTTGGATCAGGTCTGCTGCTCTCAGCCAAGGTTTGTAGTGTTGTATTRTGTTCAGCTTGCTGTTGTACACTGTTCTTAGCTTAGGTGAGAGAGACAAGTCTGTTGTGGCTCTCAGGTACTGGTGGTTTTAATTGAGTTCAAATTGTAACAGCTGGGTGAGTGAGGGTGAGGAGRACTCTATTATAAACCCTCATTTTCACAAATTGCTTTTGGACACAATCTGTCAATAGAGATTTTGTTTCTAAAAACCTTCTTTTGCCAATGGAGACAAGCTGCAAATCAGGAGCTGTCACTGGGATTTGATTTCAGTGCTGCCACTTTAGTGAAAAACCAGGTGAACATCTCAATTWTGCAGTTGATGTTGGTAGTTCAGCTGTTGTGTTCCTGGGACTGAGACATTCTGTTTGGCTCCCTTTAGCAGCAGTTCAATATTAATTAATTAAATGGCAAAAAAAAAAAAAATAATGGAAATGAATAAGGATTGATGGATCCATTCATATCTTGTAAACCATTGTCTTTCCAGCTTTTTCCTGTGCCTCTGGTGAGTACCTGGAGATGAAGAACCAGGCGTGCAGCAAATGTGCAGAGGGGACCTACTCTCTGGGCAGTGGGATCAAGTTTGACGAGTGGGACGAGCTGCCAGCGGGATTCTCCAACGTGGCGACTTTCATGGACACARCAGTGGGCTCCTCCGAGGGCAAAGCCGACAGCTGCAACAAGTAAGGAGTGCTGCTTGCACCTGGGTTACACAGCTGTGAGTAAATCTGGGGCAGCTCAGCAGCACAAAGCTGCTCCAGGACTCATTGAAGCTCTGCAGAGGGTGACCAGCCCTGCTGATGGCAAATGAGAGGCTGGGAGGTGAAATTTGCAGCCATCTCTTTGCTGTCAGCTGGGTCTCCTTGGGCTCATCAGCAGCCWGTGGGTTTAAGACCAGCCTGAACTGCTCTTATTTGAAAGCTCCAGGATCCTGGTGTAGTAAATGTGGCTAAAAGGTCTTTTCACAGCCTATTTAGAGACCTGTGGTTTTTGCACAAGGCTGTTTCTGAGTGTAATTGAAGGTATATTGAACCTGTGGATAATAAACCTTTCTTATGTAGGCTGAGTCCTAAWTTTTTTGTACCATATCCTTATCCATACAGTTTTAATGAAAGGTATTCTATAATACATTATTCATGTAACATATAAAAATAGATCTAAAATAGAATTATGATATCTACTACATCTGAAAAAGAAATTGAAATCCTGTAATAAATTAAAAAAAAAAAATTCACTGCAGTTAGCTGTTGTGTGATTCTGGGGTCTTTATTATGTAACATGTTTTTGTATAGCAGTGTACAAAAAGTCTGCTCAGTGTCTGTGATCTCAGTTGAAGCTTGTTTTGTTTATGTTCATCAGCTCCTCGTGGACGCCTCGAGGGAATTACATCGAGTCTAACAGGGATGATTGTACAGTTTCTCTCATCTACGCTGTGCACCTGAAGAAATCCGGCTCTGTCTTCTTTGAATACCAGTATATTGACAACAACATCTTCTTTGAGTTTTTTGTAAGGCCTTTTATATGGTGAATCCAACCTTACATTGTAAGAATTCAACCCAGATAAAGATCATTAGAAGCAGCTTTCCCCCCCTTTTAAGTTCCCTGTAACAAGCCCATAGCTTGTTATTGCTGAAGAAGATAAAAACATCTGCTTCTCTTTCTGTCTCTTCCACTGTCTTGTGGCATTTATTTAATCTTCAAAACTCAATCTGATCTGATCCTGTCTGCCATTCACTGGGATTTTTTCATTAGGGGTTATGACTACCCCAGTTAGTCCAGACTTTTGCAAGACTTTGTTGGTGACAGATGTTTCCATTTGGGGTGTTTGACTTGGGAACTCTTTGAAGGGACTTGACATTTAAAGACTTCTTCCAAGGCAGTACTATATGGAAACCTTTAGTTTTAGGTCAATTTGTGTCCTAGTAATTTAGTAATTAAGATGAAAAGAAAAGCAGGAGACATTCAGGTGACTTTCAAGTAGGAATTAGGCTCTGAGGATGTGTCTGCACTATGAAATGGAGGGGCTGGGGATCAGATTAGCTCTGAAATGGGGACAGCCTGGCTGGGCTTGCACCATGCTGTACTCAAACTGCTGAAACAGTCTGGTCAGCAGTGGCCASAATGGGGAAAGCAGCCCTGCTCTGCCCACCCAGATGGACAGGTTGGTGTCCAGTGAGCTGGAGGGTTCCCAGCACCAGGGTTTGCAGTGGGGTGTAGATACCCCAATTACTGAGGTGCTTTGGAAAGTTCCACTGACACCAGTCTCACTGTCCTTGCCATGTTGTACGTGCCATTTGGGACAGAAAAAACATAAAGGGAGGGTGACTCACARAGGCAGATGACTGGAAATTTTCAGTCTCTGTTATTGCACCTGTATCTGTCTGACAAGCTCTGTTTTTCATCAGAAAACACAACTCATGGCACCACACAGGAGTGAGAAATCTTAGCTGGTGTTAGTTAATATTTCTTGAAGTTCATGAAAAAGTGCAAAATATCCTTAGTAGAGCTAGGAAAGGAAGACAAAAATGACCACTTGGAGGTACCTGCATGCTGCTCCATCAGTGTGACAGATTGCCATTGCACTTCACTAACAGACCATGGAGGCAATGTCATTTAGCCATTTCTGTTTTGTATTAGGCTATCATGCCTTCTCCATGGGAAAAGGCAGCAAATCTGCTTTCTGCTGTCAGGTGAATGTGCCAGGATTATGAATCCCAGCTCCAGYTGCTCGACTGACTGGCAGATCTGCCCCTGCAATGGAGCAAATATATTGTTTTCTGAGCACTGGCTTTGAAAATGGCTTCTTGATTATGGCTTTTATCCATATCACACTCATTCACCTTCTCTGAATTTATCATTCCCTGTTCAAGAAGCAGTGAGTGGTGCAGTTCTTTATAGAAAGCCCCATAAATTCCTAGTCAGCCTCAGTATTTCAGGGAAACCATCTTTAGTGCTCCTGTAAAAGTAATTTATTTTTTTCTCCAGCATGTCTCTGTGCCTAAGTATATTTAACAGTGGCACTTTAGCTCTGGACAGTGGCATTTCAGTGGCAGTGGCAGGTTGCTGGGAAATGATGAGGTGTTTGATCTGCCCTTCCTTGGCTCTRTTTACATATTGAAGCCCTTTGCACCAGATGAGAAAAGACTTTATATTCTTAACTCCTTTTTGCAGATGGGAGCCAAGACACAGAGATGCTGTAGCTCAGGTTGCACAAGATAATTAGGGACCTACACAGGTGCTTMTTCTTCTTCTCAGTTCTTTTCCTCAGTGCTGTTGGTCTTGGTGGGAATTGAGTGTACAGATGCTTTGGAGGATGTGGGGTTGCTTATTTCAGACTTGACATGCAGCAGCTTTAAGGAGGGCCCTTGACTCCAGGTCGAGTGTCTGRAAGTGTTGAAGTGGCCCTTCTCCCTGGAGCAAAAAAAGCTGAGTACGTGATCTCATGCCTCAAAGAGACTTCACACTTTCTCACCTGAGAAAACAGTTATGAGAAGAAAGAAATGCAGCAAACCCTGCTGTAAGGAAATGTTTTAGAGTTGTGCTGGACCTGGGCAAGGGACAGCCAACCTCACATTGCTGCCAGGACAGACTCTCCATGGCAATTCCTCTCCCTTGGTAATGTTGCTCTCATCCCTAGGTCAGGTGGCAGCTGGCCAAAGACAAAGCACAAATTGGTTGTAGAGAAAACACTTYGTTTTCTGGCTTTGGCCCATCCACTCCTGCTTCCCCTATGACTTAGAAGTCTCTGGATTTTAGAGAATTAATTCTTGGTGGGTTCAGGAGAAAGAGGAAGCAGCAAGAAAAGATTCTCAGCATCCTTGTCTGGCCATATAGTACAAGGACGAGTCGAGATCTTCTCATCCTGTTTTTTTTCTTGCCGTCTCTGTCAGAGGGAGCCTTTGGAGGTGCTGTTAAACTGTAGCAGATGTTGAAATTTAGAGGTTTATTTTGCCACAAGTAAGGCAGCTGTCTAAATATGTAGACAAGAGTATCAGAGCTGAATCTTAAAATTCCCAGAATTAATTATGCTGACTGAGAGATGCACCTGACTGTAGTCACTGACCTRGTGTTTTTATTAACAGATACAAAATGACCAGTGCAAAGAAATGGAGTCCACGGCAGACAAGTGGGTGAAGCTCACAGACAACGGGGAATGGGGCTCTCATTCTGTAAGTGTATAAAAAAATCCTTCATGAAGTTTTTTTTTCCATTTATAAATGTGATTTCCTCTGTCCAGACACCAAACACAGGATGGTTCCTGTGAATGCATTTGAAGAAGCAGAGCTTTCCTTGTATTGAGGGGAAAAGTCATGGGGATCCCTAAAGGACTGGTCCCAAAGGAAATTTTATAGATGCAAACCCTTTGTATTGATTTCCCTGGGCTTTGAATCAAGTGTTTTATGAGGTTAAATAGATTTATGCAAATCTGCACGCCACAATCACTTTGCATGATTGTAATTGAAATCTTTTACGACAGCTGTTTGCTCATGAGAGTACAAGGTTATTCCCTGTGTCTTGGCAGAGCAGAGGCACCGGGGTGTGGAGACAAACAGGACAGGCATTTTATTCTCAGGGGTGTGCAGAAGTTCTGCCCCATGGGGACTTGTTTGATAAACAAACTGGCAGCACCAGGGTGACTCCTGCAGCACAGACAGATCCTGTCCCTGTTGGGTGGGAGCCTTTTGGCTGGCCTGTGACCCAGCTCTCTGAACAGACCATGATTCCACTGTACCATCACTCCCTTGTCCCCAGAGCCATATCAGCAAAGGCCCAGCTTAGGTGACATTATGCCAGGAGAAAAAGGCTTTTGTGGGCATAGGCAGCAGCATAGTCTCTGTTTTCCATGGTCCATTTATCCTCCTGGAGGAGAATTTCCTGAGGCAGCTCTGGCTGGCAGTGCCTGATAGCTCAGATGTGAGATCAGAGCGAGTTAGATTGGAAAGCTGGGTGAGGAGGGRTGAGTGGCATGAGCTGAGAGGTACCAAGGGCAGGGCATTGAACTGGGTGAGCTGAGGGGTGTGGGCATGGGAGATGGTGCCATCTGGGCTGTGCAGTGTTGTCACTGTCTGTGAAAGCTGTTGGGATGGCTGACTGAAATGTAGACACATGAGCTAAGTGAGACCCTGATTCTGCCTGTCCTGGAGGTTTTTTCCTGCACTGAAAATCCTGTCCAGGTGTCTTCTGTGAGCACAATTTGCCAGCTGCTGCAGTCTCTGCTCTCAGAGTGTGAGTCCTGCTGCCCTGGAGCTGCTGTTGGGTACCTCCCCYCTCACAATGGGATGCTGTTTCAGTGTGGTCCCAGCTCTGCTGTGGTAACTCAGCTCTCCTCTTCCCCTGTGGGCAGGAACTGTTTGGGTGTGGGAGATACAATATACTGTATTTCCACTTCGCTAAATTTTTGAATTCTTTATCGTGGGTGAACAAAAACTGTGGTCCTGCCAGGCCTATCCAACACTGCTGTAAATCCCATTATCCTTGACCCTTGTGCTGGTAGGGTTTATCCCTCTTCTTGTGTGGAAGTACAGCACTTTCAGGATATTATCACTGTGTTGGCTGTAAATATCTTGTTCTGAGYTGGCAGATGTGGTGCAGCTTTGCAGGCCAGGCAGGGGCTGGGTGAACCTGCTGCTTTTAGTGATGAGAGTGACACAAATGTGTGGTTATACAAGTGAGTTGAAGGCAGAACGTAACAAAACTGCTGCTGGAAGAGTTGTCCTGATTTCCTACTGTCCCTTACCTCAGCCATGATGCCACCAACCCTTCCACAGGGGCTGTGCAGCCACTTRCTGAACCACACCATGAAAACAAGTGGGTCAAGGCAGTCAGAAACCAGGTTGTTTTCTGCATCTCACCTGCTGTTTGTGGTCAGCAGTGAGCAGGAGAGATGGGACTGCTCATGGGGACAGCCATGGTTTGTGCTTGGCTCACTGGGCATGATGCTGTTACATGCAGGCAGAGCTTGATTTTTAAAACCTATAAACAAAACTCTCTTGTGAACTGGATTTTCAAACTCTGGGTCATGTTGAGTTTCTTTATGAAAGTGTATCTCAAGGCTTCAAAAATAAACTGATAGGGTCTATCTGAACATAAAGCTAGTGATAAAAGCTCTAGAGTGCCWGGGGTAGTTGGATAAGGGCAGGAACAGCTTTTTCCMAATTCTGCTTGTGACAAGGTCAGAAAYTGCTCCTGGTGTTTTTCCAACATGGGTGTTGAGAAACCGTTTYATAAAGGACACTTTGGCACTCCTCAGTTATGTCTGTAGAGCATCTGTCTAGCTGTTTCCTCATWAACTCTTGACACACTAAACAGCATAGGAAAAGCTGCTAGGATGCAAGAAATCTGAATAATTGAAGTAAGAAATAGAACAATGTCTTGGTGAGGGGATGTCTGCTAACTCRTGTGTTGTTGCAGGTAACTCTGAAATCAGGCAGCAATATATTATACTGGAGAACAACAGGGATTCTCATGGGCTCCAAAGTAGTAAAACCAGTTCTAGTGAAGAACATCACAATTGAAGGTAAGTAGTATTCGTCTTTGAGGTTTTAYCTCACTCTTTGGTCACAATGTTTGCCAAGTGCTGTTTCTGCTCCTGTGCCTGCAGCACTGAAGTGACTCTTTTTAGCACCTTGCCCCGTTTCCTCCTCTGAAGTGTAGAAAAAGAACAGCAAAACTTCAGTCAGGAAAGGGCTGAAAAAATAGTTTATCTGGTAAATGCTGCCATCTACCGGAAAAGACTGGCTTAGCAAAAAGAGAGAAAAGGCAATAAAGAGGTTTTCTTTAATGTAGGTATAGGTTATTGGTAAGCCTCCCAACAGTGATGAGTGGATATATATCATAACAGTGACAATTAAATTAAAATTTAAATGATCTTTTTAATCTGGGATTTCTCTTTTCTCCTGTTCTAAGTGTAATAAAACGTGGAATGTCATGTAAACTTCGTAGATGGGTCAGACTTGCATTGAAGAGTAAAGATTAAAGACATAAGTTATGAGTCAGCAAAGCTGAAGTGTCTAAAGTGAGTGCTGAAACTGAGAGTGATTTTTCTGCTGTTTTATGCAGCTGACTTGCTGTCAGCCATAAGCCCAGGTAGGCAGCAGTTATGGATGTATCTCTTCCAGTGCTTTACCTGGATTTTTTCTTGCAGGAGTTGCGTACACGTCTGAATGCTTCGCGTGCAAGCCTGGTACCTTCAGTGACAAACCTGGGGCTTCTGGCTGCCAGGTGTGCCCACGAGACACTTATTCTGAGAAAGGGGCTAAAGAGTGCACCAAGTGTAAAGAAGAAATGTATTATGCAGGTAAGAAATGTATTRTTATAAACCAAATGGGTTAAGCACAACCAGGAAAGTCTGACAGTGACCTGACAGTGACATTGCATTCAGCAATGACAGTCTCCAGCTGATGGGTAAAGAAAAAAATCAATGACTTCCCAAAATATGCAGAAGGCACACAGGTAACACAGATACATAACTGGCTACAGACAAACGCTGTTAGGGTGATCTATACTGACATGAAGGGGTTTACAACCTGAAGAAGACCTTTACAACCTGGAAAGGAATAGTTCTCCTGAAGGATGGAAGAATCGTGCTGTGCCCTCTCGTGGTGATTTGTGTTATAAGTTGGCGACGACACCAATTTGCTTCATTACTACCTTCAGCCTTAACATATTTTGAGGAATGTCCTTTCCAAACACTCTCCTGGTTTGCCCCGAYCTCCTGTGTGGTTGGAAAATGTGATGATCTAGTTGCAAACCCTAGTCCCAAAGTCCTGTGCATTCTCAGCTGTGGTTAGGTGATCATCAAAAAACATGGTCTTAATCTATTTTTCATARCCAAAAGGTTTTCAGATTTCTTCCTTGTAGTAGTTTTAAGGAAGATCTTGAAGAATCAGTTACTCACTATAGCACGTGTTGTCACCACATGTGGCAAATGCTTGGGGACCTGTGCCTGTGCTCCCAGTGGGGATGGAAATATTGAAAAATTATCTGGAAAGAAGATAAATTGGGCCAGTGTTGTAAGGAAGGTTCTACAGGGTTAAACTGGTTTTGTTCTTTATCATGTGAGAACATATTCTCATGCTTGGTAAGCTGCATAAATTCCTGTTTGAAGGTGAAGAAGTGGGGTGAGGGTTTGRGTGGATCAGAGRATGGTTTGGGTTGTAAAGGACCTTAGAGATAATCTAAGGTTCCAACATTGGTGCCATGGGAAGGGAAGCTTCCACTAGATCAGTTTGCTSAAAGCCCCATCCAACCTGGCCTTGATTGTTTCCACGGACATTCACAACTTTTGTGGGTGACCTGTTCCAGGTCACCATCCTCRTAGTAAAAAMCTTCTTCCTARTAATTCTCCCCGGCTACACTGAATCAATGGATTTCAGTGTGTCAGTATGAGCACAGCTGGTATTTTCCCTGTTCCCCTAATTCAGTTCAGGGAAAGGTTCATGCAGGCCCCATTAAGGGCTTGATTTTTCATTCTTATTTTGTATATTTCTGCTGACTCATTTCAACCTCCAGATTTTAAGCTTGCTATGTTTGTTTAATTGTTATGTTTTTGGTTTTTTTCCCCCCCAGGGACCATTTGATAGTTTAATATCCCATTTCTCACATTTTCTTTTTAGAGGAGGGATCCAGTGCGTGTATAGAGCGACCTCCTTGCACAAGCAAAGACTTTTTCCAGATCCATACCCCGTGTGATAAGGAGGGAAAAGTAAGTAGAAGGCATGATACTATTTTTAAGCTCATTGACCTTACTGCTATCTCTGCATTTGAAAACAAGGTAATTTTTTTAGGAATCCCTTTCCCAATTACTTTCCCAATTTTGCTTCTGGCACTGAATCTCTCTGAGGCTTTGGGCTTTTCCTTTGCCTGCCCTCTCCACAGCCTTTATCCCTCTGTAAGAAACTGCCAGACATGGGGTGTGTTGTTGTGAGATGATAAGCTCCTTGCACTTGGGGTGGGTTTGATGGGGTCACTGGAGCTACTTCCAAACTTCTATGCTGGGAGGAGCACAGGGTGAGGTGCTGTCCCAGCACAAACCCAGCTCTTTAGTTGTTAATAATCTTTCCTGGCAGATTTTGGGCTTGTGATAACTGTGCCAGCAATGCCCAGGCATAATGCAGGTGATACCATGGCACAAGGGAGCATTCCTGTTTCAGGTGGAAGAGTGTTTGGCTGCACAGGTATGATGTGTGCCATGTCCCTTTGAGCATTAAAGAAAAGCTCGTGGTCTGTTAAAATAATGATAYTTACATAGCCTGGAGTGTTCATGTGCAGCAGCTTGGCTGCTGGCAATGTGATTTTCCCATGGGATACCTCAAATCACTGGACTCTCAGGAGATTGTTTCACTCAGAGACCTKAGCTCCATTTGGTCTCTTATAGAGGCACCTGCTGGTAGAGCAGCCTGGCTTTGTYCTAGCTTTGGAAGAATTTGGAGAAGAAACTCCTGTTTACTGCTGTAGGAAAACCACAGAGTTTTGTCTCTTTCCCATGTCTCTTAKATCCAGATGGGATTGCAGATAGTCAAATTCCCTAACACCTGTATGTTGCTGGCCTAATATTTGCTGGCAGGACGGAGTATTTTGGAGTCTYCCGTTCTGTGAATTCCAAAATGCAGCTGAGAGCTTGCATGCTTTAATAACGAAGCATCAGTGAGTTTATCCCCAGAGCTGGCAGGCTCTGCAGCCTGGTCTTGACTCGCTGAWTTCTGCTCTGTTAACTGTCTCTAATGACTCAAGAAATCAGCAGCAGCATTCACARCTACACCCCCAGGTACAGCTTTAATTGCAGCCTCCTGCGGATTGTCCTGTCACTGCTTTGTGTGATCAGAGTCTCCCAGGCACTGAACAGGTTCCTGTTATTGATCCTTTTCCCATCTCCTCACTGGCCTTCCCCTTCCCTGGTGGCCTCATTGGAATGCAGAGAGGGTCTTTCTGCAGACACCCTTCATTGTCCAGTTACAACAGCAGCAGCAGGTGCCACAGGCACACAGACACTGGCTGAGGTGTCAGGATTGCTTCCACTGCTCTGCATCTCTGGAAATGGTTCAGGTTTGCTGTACTCCCCAGCCATCTCCATGTGATGCAGCTCAGTGAGAGGCCCAGCCTGTTGATCCATGGTTACTAAAAGAAGCCAGGTTTTCACTGAATAATCAGTTGTTGTCTCTCTTCTGACATTCCACTCTGTGTGTAGAAGGGGCCTCAGGAGATTTAGGCACTTGCCTCCTCTTGGCTTTCCATCTACCTSCTGCATTAAAAATGCCAGGGTGATTCAGCCCCAGTCTCAGAACCCCTCACACATGGCCATGGGCACTCTGACCCCCCCCTCCCCTGCTCAGATGCTGAAGGATTCCTGTGGTGTGCGGTGTGCTTGGGCTCTGGGTGATCACACAGGTGCTTTGCCAGATCCTGAGCCTTTTTATTTTAAATGCTGTGCACCTTGATGCTGCTGAAGCATTTCTGGGGCAACATTCCAGAGAATCCTCCCAATGTTCAAGAGCAAGGGCAGGAACAGGCCCTGATCCATTGGAAGTGGTGCCACTCTGGCAGAAGGAGCAGTCACTCAATATCTGAGCAAAGCAGACCCGGTGCCMGTGACCACATTCAGCCAAGGTGGCCAGATGAGTCCATGGAGATGAGACACGGCCAATGTCCAGCTGGAGCAGTGTGTCCATGGGTCAGTCAGGATKTGGGTCAGCCAGGGAACATGACCTGGCACAGGCATGGCTGCAATGGAGTGCAGGCAGAGATGAGGGTAAGAGCCTCAGCTTAACTGCAGCTCACAGGAGCCAGGGCCTGAGCCTGAACTGAGGCTTCTTCAGGTTATTTTTTGAAATTGTTTCAAAAAGGATCAATACTTCTTCAGTAAGTTACCAGAGGTCTAACTCCGAGTGCAAGCAGCTCACTGCTAAGGGTGACAGTGGGTCTGGATCAAATTCATAAGGTGAAATCTCCCTAATCAGAGCCTCCAGCCTCAAGGATCTCTGACTGCTCGGACCAAAGGGTGGAACACCCAAAGTGGGAGATATGGACAGGTTAAACTCTTGCTGCTGGCTTTCTGAGCTATGGAACTCGGTTGAGTTTCATCTTGAGATTCAAAACCCTTTCAGAGATAGACYCAAAATTAAATGAAATTTGAGACCAAGCTTCATGGGTGATACATCTCTCCTAAGATGTATCTCCTGAAGACAGAAACTTGTCCTCAAAGGGAGGTGATGATGAAGAAGTGACACTGTTGTGTGTGGTAACACACATGGACTGACTCATGTTAGTGTTCATAAACTGTTCCTTGTGTGATGACAAGGGATTGCAGGGAGTTTGGCAGAGGTCCTGCATGGTTTTGGCATTTCCTCAGTAGGTGAAAAATGGCTGGAGAGAAATTGGGGACTTCTCAAAAGCAGGCCAGTATGAATTAAAAATGCAGAACTTGTGGTGCTCTCTACTATCAAATACCTTCCCAATTAAAGGCTTTTACATGGCAGAAGTTATATTTTGTGTCACTGTGATTAAAATGCTTGTCCAGCTGTTAGAATTATTTGATGTTCTTCAGGACCATTTGCATGGGGAAATTTACTACTTAAATAGGAATGAACAGTAGTAATTGTTTTAAGCCTCACATTTTTGTTTTGTTCTTAGTCTCATACCTTGGAAACTCCTGTGAACCCAATCACTTCTGTTGCCCTTTTCCAGCCTTCCCTTTATTGTAGTGAATGTGCAAGGTTTGTTTTTGGCCTCAGATGATGGGAATGCCCTAATCCATTTTACAAGGGGGACCTTGATCGGTGCATCCCATCCTAAAACTTCATAGCACACGGTGTGAGCTCAGTGCCTTCTCTTTGCAGACTCAGATCATGTACAAGTGGATTGAACCCAAGATCTGCAGAGAGGATCTTCCCGGTGCACTGACCCTCCCTCCTTCTGGAGAGAGGCAGGACTGTCCACCCTGCAATCCTGGCTTCTACAACAACGCCTCATCTTCCTGTACTCCCTGCCCACCAGGCACATTTTCGGATGGCACACAGGGTAGGAGASTGCAAAAAGATCTCATGTGTCTCCACAAGCAGTCATCTGCTCGCACATGATTTAGTTTAGTGACACATCTGATAAGCCAGAGTTCATTTTGTGTAAAATCCTCGTTAAATAATATTGGAGAACAGGAGTTGGATAGCTGTTTTCTCTCCTCAGTCCTTACTTATCAGGAGTTGCTGCTCTAAGTTGATCTGCTCTGGGTGCATTTCTTGGCTGATAGAAACATCCTGAGAGTTATTTTAAGGGATTCTGAGAAGGGAATCAGAACATTTACAGCCAGTCGTTCCCCCTCACCCCTTCTCCTGTCGGTGCCAAATTGTTCCCTGTGAAAACCTCATTTTAAGCCCAGTCAGAAGGGTACCCTGCCAACACTGTCTAGCCTGAACTCTGGCTCATTGATTCTGAGATGCATTGGCCCAGTGGTCCCCTACAGCATTTTCTGGGAAGTGTTATTTATCAAACCTTCAGCTGAATTCATTAAAAGGAAGTGTGACTTGGGGGACCAGTTCCCACTAACCCAGATTTCTTACCATTAGGTTATGATCTACAATTTTYAAACTGCTGGTCTCATTTCCACTCTTCTTGCCCTGATAAGTCTTTGACTGTTTAAATACAAAGAAATACACTATTTTCTTTGCTTATTACTTGCACCAGAGATTTAAAAAGCAGTATCTATGTTCTTTAAAACACTCTTTGAGATGTGCTTTGGCTGTGTGATATCCTTTTCTGCCCTTCCACCCTTAGAGTGCAAAGCCTGCCCTGCTGGGACCGAGCCAGCTCTTGGGTTTGAGTACAAGTGGTGGAACATCCTGCCTGGAAACATGAAGACATCTTGCTTTAATGTTGGCAACTCAAAGTGTGATGGGATGAATGGTGAGCCGAATTCCCTGTATTGTGTGCCTGTCTCCTGCATGGATCCCTGTTGTAATGTTCCCTCCCTTTTCTTTAGTTACACCAGGCTTGAAATTTCCCATAGGAAACAATGTCACTGTGTCACAAAGAAATGAAAAACCTCATGTGTACCAGAAGAGGGCAGGAGCTGCAGCTTCTGTGAAATCTCCCTTAAAATAAATGGCTTTATTGCAACTTCAGATGCTTTCAGTTCCCCACTGAAGAAAGCACTGTTTTGTCTTCTCCCTAGTTTATCTCATTCTCTGTTTTGTCATAACTATGCCCATCGAGGTCACACATAATTATTTTGGAAAGTTTAATTACAGTCTGTGGTTTTGTTCGTTTAGCACTCAGAGCTTTCTCTGTGCTAAAATTKCAGCAGAGAGCAGTCACAGCTCACTGGTGAAAATGATCCTGTTTGGGACTTCTCCAGCCTTCTCTGACAGATTTTCCTCAGTCTGATCCACCCTGTCAGACTGATGTAACTCAAGCTTTGAATTATGTGTGTTGAGCAGAGSGGAACTGAAGTATGTGCTTAAAATTTAACACAGAGATTCACTGATTCATCTGTTTTAAGGCTGAAAAATATCAGATGGATCATCCCCCTCGAGCTGCACAGCACAGGTCAGGGAATTTCARTTGCTTTGCTGATTTCAGAGGTGACAATTGCCTGTAAAATCAGCAGTTCATACAATTGCTAAAATCCTTCATTCAAAAGCATTGGGATATTGCTTTGTATTTTATATCAGGCATCATTAAAATACACTGAAATACTGAATTGTTTAAAAATTACAGTAAYGTACACTTATTTTGCCACCCATTCATTGAAATTTTTTTCTTTTTCTKTCCTGTGAAGGTTGGGAGGTGGCTGGTGACCACATCCAGAGTGGGGCAGGAGGCTCTGACAATGACTATCTTATCTTGAACCTGCACATCCCAGGATTTAAGTAAGGAATGGGTTTTTTTTCATCTCTTTCTCATTTATTTCTGTCTCTTATACCTATTTCACACCATCCCAGGGGTAATCTGAGTTTCCCTTTCTGAAGTGGAATAATGTAATGAATAAGAGACAAGAGGAAACTTGAAGTTTATTCCTGTGTCCCCAGTTTGTCCATTGAGGCAGGCGAGTGTGTAAGACCTTGGTTTTTAGCAGTATTTACTTTAGTCCAAGATACAGCCAATTGGCTGTCTGGAAAATGAGAAAAGATGTTCCTATCCCTCTGTTTGTAAATTATTCCAAAGTGACCATATAAACCTGTCATGGGRTGGATACTGGAGCCTACCTGAAATGTATTTTATTGAAACCCAAGTTACTTTGTCCTGTGGCTCCAGGCAACCTGCACAGTCTTGAAGCCAGCAGGGAGATGCAGGCACTGCAGGAAAATGGGATATCTCACCACTCCTGAACCCTCAGACAGGATGAAATAGCTGCTTGAGGTGCTGGTGTCTCTTTGCCAAGAGTGAGCTTAAACTCCTGGCTCAGACCAGGTGCCAAATATTTAGACAGGTATGGAAGATGAACCTCACCCTCCCTTTGGTATTTTTTCAGCTGGAGTAGGAACAATTAAATTGGTGTAAATCACTTGAAGTATGTAACACATTTTAATAATAAGGTTCCCTACCAATATGGTCAAGTTTGGGTATTTATTATAAGGAGGGAACTGTACAATAAAAAACTTAGACACTTAAAAAATGCAGAGGCACTGTGAAAYCTGGACTCCTCTGTTCTGCAAGGACAGGTTTTCTATGACAGGACTTTGATGGCTTCACCATCTGAAACAGGAATTTGAAGGATTGACTGCTGTCTGTCTGGAGAGCACTGTGTAAATGTTTTGTTCTTTCTCTGTTAAACAGACCTCCGACATCMGTGACAGGAGCAACTGGGTCAGAACTCGGACGGATTACTTTTATTTTTGAGACCATCTGTTCAGCAGATTGTGTGCTGTACTTTATGGCAGTAAGTGACACCTCTTTGTCCATGGCTGAGGACTGAGCCTGCTATTCCATGTGCCACTTTAATACCTCTGCATAGGTGTGATTAGTTGCACTTCGTTTATTATGATTAAGCGTGGCGTTAGTTTAGTATCTGCAGTGCCCTTGCAGGAAGGATTTAATGGATGACCTAGGAAAATTCCTCCACCATGTGAGTTGTGAATCATTCCTGGTTATCTGTTTATTCTAAAAGAAATTGTTGAGCACTAAGGAGCAAATTTTTCCCCTGTTAAACTGACTGATGAAATTGTGTCTCTTGTGCTGTTGAGTTAGCATCTGGTAACAAAGTGACAAGTCAAGATGTGGGACAGAGGAATGGGAAGAGGACAGTTTGGAAATTTAGACTTGATCCTGTCAATAACTGGAGGATCAGTAGGGCAGCAGATGTTTGTTTGAAAGTCCATCAGTTGAGGAAGGCAATTGGCTCCCTTGCCTCTTCCATTGAAAGGGGAAGCTGGTCCTTTTTGTATTTAGTGTTTTTTTAAAGGAACCTGCTCTTAATTTAAAGAGAATTGAGTGGAAATTAGCTGGCAATTTAAAAGAGCCTGAAGATTTGTCAGTTGTGCAAAACAAAATAAGTATGTTTGCTTTATTAAATGTTAAATGCAATTGTGTAGTCATTTTTATACATTAATCTCTATATCATAAAACACTGGTGCTTAGTGNTATCATAAAACACTGGTGCTTAGTGTAGTATGACCGCATTTCCTGTTGGGTTTTTGTTTGGTTTTTTTTTTTAATTTTTGTTTTGGTTTTTTTTTTTGTGTTTTTGTTTTTTTTTTCTTTTTTTTTTTAAACTATGCCCATTTTATAGGATGTTAATCGAAAAAATACCAATGTGGTGGAATCATGGGAAAGAAGTAAAGAAAGACAATCCTACACTCACATCATCTCCAAAAACGCTTCCTTCACCTTCACTTGGGCCTTTCAGAGAATAAATGAGGGCCAAGATGTAAGTACTTCTTTATGTATGGGGCTTTAGAATGCAGCGTTCCTTGGACACTCTGCCAGAGCTCTTGTCCTCTGTCGTAGCTCACAAGTTTCTCACAAGGGGTGAGTGGCTTTCACCACAAAGCAGCCCTTGGGAGGAAGCAGTGGATGAACAATCCATGAGGAAGGGCACAGCCATGAATAAGTTGACCCCTGAATTGGTGCATGGAGATGTGGATGGTGTCCCAGTGCCGTGGTGTGGTGACACTGGGGTGGTTTCCCTGGCTCTCGTTCCAGAGCAGACAGTTCATCAATGACATGGCCAAGATCTACTCCATCACAGTGACCAACGCAGTGGACGGAGTGGCCTCCTCTTGCCGSGCCTGTGCCCTGGGCTCTGAGCAGTTGGGCTCATCCTGCGTGCCCTGCCCACCAGGACATTACATCGAGAAAGAGAGCAGCCAGTGCAAGGAGTGTCCGCCCGACACCTTCCTGTCCATCCACCAGGTCTATGGCAGGGAGGCCTGCATCCCCTGTGGGCCTGGCAGCAAGAGCACCAAGGTACCGACCCTGAGTGTTTCTGGGTGATGGGCACACAGTGTTTATTGGGCTCTCACAGAGCTGCTTTTAGTGCTTTCCTGCAGACATGTGCCTTGTGAGCACCGGAGTGTAGTTATAACCTATGAGCCCACTCTTCCAAAGATGTCACTAGTCTGATTACTGTTTGTAAATAATAAGACAAAAGTGGCAACATCAGCTCAAAAAAAATAGTTCATTTCAAGAAGGTGTACTGTGGACAGTGTACCAACACAATAAGCGTGTATGTGCTCCCACCAAAACCATCCCAGACACCTGCTCTTTTAAACTTAGGGTCTTTCTCAGCTGGATGATGTTTCTGGGCCTTTAGAAACCTGTAACAAGTTCCTCTTACATGAAACTGCCAGCATAGGTAAACATTTATCATGTTCAAAGAGCTGCACAGGTGCTGGAAGAGCTGCTCCAGTTTGTTCATACTCTGCTTGTCTTTTGCTGAACTCATATCCTGTCCTTGTTTCATGAGCTGTTTCTTGTGTTTGCTTTACAAAATGCAAGTGTTACCAAGGCCGTGTTTTGGTCTGTTTGCAGRGCTTTAAGCTGGAACATTGGGATCCTAAAAGCACATAGAACAAAACAAAGCAAGAAATTCCATTCTCTWGGCTGATGCATCAGGCAACACAAAAACCAGGCTTAGGGAACATTGTAGTCCTGATAYGTGATTGCAAGGGACTGAAATGGGAATGGGAATTATCCCAAGGGAAAGATCAGTTATAGGAAGAGGACAGAGTTCCTCTTTATCCCTAACAAGGAAAGGAGTCCTGTCTGCACCCTTGCTGTAACTCCGAGGTGAATGTTTTTCTGCTGTTTCATAGCTGTTCTTTAATGGATGCCTCTCCTTTGCAGGACCACTCTGCCTGCTACAGTGACTGCCTGGTGTCCTACATCAAGGACAACCAGAGCCTGAATTACAATTTTAGCAACCTCAGCCAGGTGGGCTCACTGATGAGCGGACCCAGCTTCACTTCCCGAGGGACCAAGTTCTTCCACTTCTTTAACATCAGCCTGTGTGGGAATGAGGTGAGCTCAGCTGSTGTTGAGGGTTGGGAGGATGAACCAATTCGTTGCTTGTTTTGATGCTCTGGGGTCACACTGAGGCACAGCAAGCACTCCCTTTTAACTGAGTTGTCACCAATACTGTTCAAACACTTCCTTTTGGATCCTGCTTTGCAGTGCAAGAGGACTTTTGGGCGGCCAAGTGATTTTCCAGAGCAGAGGTGACAGTGTTTTAGGCTGTAAATAATGCTCAGAAGAAAATCCCTGTCACATGTCTGCTTTTCCTTAGTTCTTGTGCCTTTAAGTCACTTGCATCACAGCCCTGACCTTTGTGTGCTGCCACCAAGGAACTCAAGTGAAGAGGCTGAGTCTTTCAGCTGGCAGCTTCTTTCCGTATGTGTCCCTCCTGAGTTCACTGGAGATGTTGTACGCAGAGCCCCTGGTCACCTGCTGTCTGCCAAATGCCCAGTGCTGACTTTGCAGCCTTGAAAGGTGGTAGAAAAATATGTTTAGTCTGTTAAGTCGAACAGGCTCTGCCACAGGGTGGAGATTTCTCTGTCTGGGCCTTGGACTGAACCAGAGAAGGTTGTCACACACATAAATTGACCTTTCAGAACAGTACCAGTATTGTGCATTGTCCCACCACAGCCAGCTCGTGTAGTTTACAATAATGTTCAGCCCTGTAAAGTTCTGAAGTCTTTTTCCTGTGTACCAAAGGATTTGCATGTGTTAAGACAAATGAGTAGTCACATTTTTTAATAGCACTTTACTGTTTAACTWCCACCTGGATTAGAGCTGCTAGCAACTGAATCCCCAGAGGTATGAATAAACTCACTCCCCTGTGGATCTGGTTCACTTTCCCAAAGTCCTACAATGGTACTACAACACAATCCACTGTATGATCAGRTGAAATGACATTTTGTCAGGAAAATTAATCTGGTGATTTGTCTTTCATTGAGCTGTTGCTCTGATTCTAGCACCGATCTTGACATGTGACATTACAGCAGTCTTGAAGGCTATATATCTATTTAGAAATTGCATGTATATTTGTTCTTTGAAAATATTTTGTCTGGATTAATTCCCAAATAAAGGGCTATTCTACAGTATAGTATTTAAAGGCAAGGGAAATAAGAGTTTTCCTTTGCAAGCCATTTTGCTATGCTCTGCAAGTAAACACTGTGCTGTCAAGATAAACAAAGAGGAGTGCTCCACAGCACAGATTTCTGATAAGACACCTGCCAGAGGTGACATTGTATTTCTGGGTCTGTACAAGGCTTTAATCGGAGCTTTGACAATGGCACAGTTTCTTATTGTGGGTAGTCCCTCTTATGACAGACAGGTGCAGAAATGAAGTTGTTACAAGGCATGAATCTCATCCAGTTTGCAATCAGGAAATTTGCAATCTCTTTTTTTGCAGTCAAACTTTTTCACATTTTATCAACAACCAACATCTTCTCCCTTTTTTTCCTGATTGTCCGCAGGGGAAGAAGATGGCAATTTGCACTGACAATATCACAGATGTTACTCTGAAGGACATGGTTGCAGAATCAGAAGATTTTTCTAATTTTGTGGGAGCTTTTGTCTGTCAGTCCACCATCATCCCATCAGACAGCAAGGGTTTTCGAACAGCCCTGGCTCTGCAGTCCAACAGCCTTGCTGACAGGTTCTTAGGTACATGGTTTGTATTCTGCTTGTTATTGTTGTGGATGTACCCTCATGTATTTAGGGCTGCAGAGTAAACCCTTCTTGGCTCAGCAGCTGCATTACTTTGGGGGAAGAGTGAAGGTGCAGCCCAAGTTCATCTCAGTTGGTTTGTGAGCTGCTTCACAGCTCTGCACAGATGCCGTTGTGTTTTGCTGATGTTTCAGTTCAGCTGATGGCTGGAGAAGAAGAGTGAGGGCTGTGCCCTTTTTTAGTTTTCCATGTCTGTATTACTYACTTTTCCTTGTGCTTGGTCTGGTGGGTCCCACGGTGCACAGCATTTCAGCACAAAAATGTGGAGAGTGTCATTCAGAAGCACTGGTTTTGTTTTATGTTCTGTACCCAGCTCACTCAGGGCAGGATCACTGACTGTGGCAGTCACATCTGTCCAAATGTTTCTCCTTGTGCCAAGATCCCACTTGGGCAATTTCAGAAGAGGAAACTGGTGTGGRGACATAATTAGGCAAGGGATCAGGAGGCTTAGGGCAGCACGTGGCTGTGCACATCATTAAGTCTGACATTGGTCCAGCTCACAAGTTCTCAGAATCTGAGGCCAGATTAGACAATGAAGCCATTTAGTCTGCTCACCTATCCATTACAGGCACTGTTTGTACTTTCTCCCTGGCACTGAGCCCAGAAACTCATGTTTGACAAAAGCACATCTTTGGAAGAACATTCAACCTGGACTTTTAAGACTGCCAGAAAAAAAAGCTGTGCCACACTCACTTTTTTTTTATTTTTTTTTCCACTGGTAGTTTTTTTCACACCATCTCTGTGTTTGGTTTTAAAGCAGATGTTTCCTATTTGAATTTCCCTGACTTCAGTTCTCAGCTTGCTTTTTAATAGTCTTTCTCCATATCACACCCACATTTTCCTTCTTGAAGAAATATTTTGTGTACTGGAATGGTCACACTCTTCCCAGTCTGCTTCTGATAAACTAAGTAGACCAAGTTCATTTAAGTGTCTTGCTATCATGCATTTATCTTGAGCATCTGAATAATTTTTGAAGCTCTTTCTGCAGCTTCTGTAACTTTTAATATTTTCTTAAAGAATGGAATGGAAGAGTATGCCAATATTTAATTTGCTATAATGGCAATAAAAATAACTTCCATAGTTGGAATCTCTGCGTCTGTCTTTCCAAACTCATGAGATTTCATCTTAGCATCTTGGATCTGATGTCCACTCTGGATGTTTTTTCAAAGTTACAGTATCCAAGRGAAAATCTCTCTTTCTTAAGACTGYCYTTCATTTTTTGCTGCACTTRATTYATATTTAGTTTGTTTGGGACCATTTTCCCAAGTGACCCAAGCACCCAAGTTACTCTGTATTTTATTTTTAATCCTCTCAATCTTTGATTCATCTACACACTTTACCAGCATGGATGATACAGTTACTTGCAGATCCCTGATGTTAATCTTGGATTTTCACACTTCAATATTGATGCCTTGAGAAGCCTGGAGACATCCCACSTTTGATGACAATTTCCCATGGCCAGATAATTTTATAATGACTTAGTTAAATAGTTTTTAATGCAGAGTGTGTGCTTAATTGTAGTACACTGCTAACTTTTTAATTAGAATCTCGTGGTAATTAGTGAAATACTTGATAAATTTACATAACTTTCTTTAGCAACCAAATTCATCAGCACTCAAGGAATGAGCCCAGATTTGTTCAACAACAGAGGCTCTCCATAAATTCATATTGACTTTYACTCATTGTGTATCAGTCAATGAACCGAAATCCGTTTTCCATTACCATTATTTTGTCTCATTGTGAGAGCCACATTGTAATTTGGGTCACCATATCCCCTCCCCAGGAGTCTTTTGACAATTCACTGTCATCAAAACTCTGTTAAAGGTCACTCTTAGGTATGGGTTTGCTAATTCACAAACATTCGTGCCAGTAGGTGCCAATAGTGTCTCCCACCACTRGAGGAATGAGGGCAGTCATTGTCTTGAAAAGCAAGGAGATAATCCTGATTTTTTTTTCCTAATGCAAAAAAGAAGACTCTTTCTTTATCTCAATTTGTGAATTTTTAAATGGTTGAAGTTGCCTTTCTTAACATAAAAAGGATGTGGAAGTGAGTCCACAGGATGCCAAAAGATGGTCAGAGGGCTGGACTGCCCCTCCTATGGAGACAGCTGAGAGAGCTGGGGYTGTTCATCCTGGAGAAGAGAAGGCTTCAAGGAGGTTTTTGAGCATCTTCCAGTACCTAAGGGGGCTAGAAGTGAGCTGGAGAGGGGTTTTTTACAAGGGCATGTAGTTACAGAATAAGGGGAAAGGCTTCAAACTGAAAAAGAGTAGGTTTAGATTAGATATTAGGAAGAAATTCTTCATKATGAGGGTGGTGAGACACTGGCCCAGTTTGCCCAGAGAAGCTGTGGCTGCCCCATCCCTGGAAATGTTCAGGACAGATTGGACAGTGTTTTAAGCAACCTTGTCTAGTGGAAGGTGTTCCTGCCCATGGCAGAGAGTTTGGAACAAAAATATTTTAAAGGTCACTTCCAGCCCAAGCCATTCTATAAGTCTGTGATTCTTTGAACTGTTTCAAGAACAAGTGGAAAACTTCTTTTCTTCAATCTTTTCACCAGTTTCCGGCCACTGCCACTTTTTCTTCTTGTTCTAGCAATTTTTATCCCCCTAGAAGGATACAGCCCCACTAATACAACTACGTCTTCCAAAATAGTGGAGCAGCAATATTTTCTGTCTTCTTTGGYTCACGGGGTTGGAAGGACCTCTGAGAACTGTACTTGAATCTTCTTCCCTTTCAGCTTTTGCCCAAAATCCATGTAGCTCGCACACCAGCCTGTCATTTGTTCCCAAAAGTGCCATCAAGACTTGCCTATGATTCCATAATCCTTCTGAGTCTGATTTCATGTCCCAAAGTACTGCAGATTTGACTCAGGTCATTACATGGTTATGATGTGTGAAGGTTGTGCTCACACACTCAAGCCATGTGCTTTGAGTGGTTGAATCAAGTATCTCCAGCAGTTCTTTGTCAGCCTAAATTGTTTTATGTTTCTTTAATATCCAGTGATTGCTYTAAATKAATATAAAAGTGTAATAAATACTTGCACTGGTATTTACTTAATTGTTTTAAATTTTGCAATGCCTGCATGAGGAAATCAAGCTGAGGACCATATATATATATATATGCAAAGTTTAGTTAGAAAAAAGTGTGTAATGTATAGTAATGCCATTAAATGCTGTTAAATGAGATCYACACCTTTCAGACTGAGAAAATATGACATGTGAACCCCTCAAAAATCCATTCATAGTTTGCTCCTCTTTTTTTTCTTTCTCACTTTTTAGGAGCTACTGTTGAAACAACACTGGAAAATATCAGCATCAAGGCAGACATGTTTCCTCCCTCTCCAATCAAAATACCGGATGTGCATTTCTTTTACAAGTAGGTAAAAATGCTGCTTATTGCAATGTCAAAAGCCTTCATTATTTAAAGGAAAGTAAAACCACGAGGGGGGATCTGTAACCCACCTTTAATCTTTACCACTTTARTCAGTATCTGCATGATATTGATTGGCATGTTGAAGATCATCTTATAAAATCAGCAAACACTCTTTACTCAAATCTAAATTATGCTTAATCTGTAGGAAGTGATACCAGAACTTTGATTCATCCAGATGCCACTTTCAGTGTGCTGTTACTTTCCATATTTTCTCACATGTGACTTTGAAATGTCCACTTCTGATTGCAAATTTTACTTCAYTTTCATTTGCATTTACTTTGATGCTACAAAATAAAAACCAAAGATTAATCAAGATTAAAATTAATTGTTTCAACATGCACAGTTACTAGTACACTTTTCCTATTCTTCATCCTTCTCCATAAAAAGAATGCCTCAATTTGGGTAGGAATTAACTCAGAGACCATCTCAGTTCACATGTCTACATGCTGATTTTCATGTCAGATGTGTTCCTAAGCTGGGACTTAATTAAATATGAGACTTTGGATATCAGCACTATGTTTATGAGACCACTTGAATTATGTGTCTGAATCTGCAGACTGAACCCCACACCAGTGACCCTACTTTGATCATGTTGTGAACTGGGTTTACAATTTCTGTCTGGAATAAGATTTTTTTTWAWTWAWWAWTTWARAWT